TAAGGCTTATAGAGTCTTTAATAAAAGAACATTAGTTGTTGAAGAATCAGTTCATGTGATGTTTGATGAAAGCAACCCTCAAACTCATAAGCATGTAACATTAGATGATGTTGGTGAGTTTCTAGAAGATACATATCTTGATAGTGAACTAATAGAGAAGCCAAAGGTTAGTGGACCTAGTGAAACTATAAAGAAAGCTAGTAAAGAGCTACCTAAGAAGTTGAAAACTACCCAGACCTATCCATAGATAAAATTATTGGTGAAATAAGGAAGGGTGTAGCCACTAGACATTCCATGAGAAACATTTGTAACACTATGGCTTTTGTGTCACAAATAGAGCCTAAGACTATAGAAGAAGCTATCGTAGATGAACATTGGCTAGTTTCTATGCAAGAAGAAGTAAATCAATTTAAAAGAAATGATGTATGCAACTTAGTTCCTTTGCGAAGTGATCATCATATAATAGGTGCTAAGTCGGTTTTTAGAAATAAGCTTGATGAATCTAGAATCATTATTAGAGACAAGTCTAAGCTAGTTGCTAAGGGTTATAATCAAGAAGAAGGTATTGATTATGATGAGATTTATGCCCCGATAACAAGAATAAAAGCTATAAGATTGCTATTAGCCTATGCATCAATAATGGATTTTAAGCCTTATCAAATGGATGACATAGTATTTGGAGCTACTAATCCCACTGTGTCAAGAATTTGCTAAGATGATGCAGCATGAGTTTGAGATGCCATGATGGGAGAATTAACATTCTTTTTGCACTACAAATAAAGCAACTAAACAATGGTATATTTGTATGTCAATGCAAGTATTGCAATGAGTTGTTGACGAAATTTGGTATGGAAAGTTGTAAAGAAATTGCCACACCAATTTCAGCTTCATGTAATCTTGATTTGGAAGAGAGAGGTACAATAGTAAACACATCAAAGTATAGAAGCATAATTGGATCTCTATTTTATCTTACAAGTAGTAGACCCAATATAATGTTTGTTGTATGCTTGTGTGCTAGATTTCAAGCTAATCCAAAGGATTCACATATGACTACTATTAAAAGAATTTAAAAAAGCTAAGTGGAACTATTTATGTTGGATTATAGTTTCCTAAGGGTGTATATCTAAGTCTTGTAGGATATTCTGATTCTGATTATCCAGGGTGTAGATTAGATAGAAATAGTACTAGTGGTATTTGTCATCTTTTAGGAAGTGCATTTGTTTCATGGCATAATAAGAAGCAAGCTTGTGTTGCTTTAAG